CTATATATATATATATATATATATATATATAATATATATATATATATATATATATATATATATATATATATATATATATATATATATATATAATTTCGCTTACCTCAAAATTCCGCAACAGTCTGTTTCATCAGTAAAGAATCATCATACCGGATTAATAGACTTATGACAATGTACCCTCGGGGTTGAACATTGAACAAGATTCTGAAGTGTATGAATAATTATGCTCATCTGGTATAGGATATAAAAGTAGGGGTTTGTGTAAATGATTTTACTTTGATGAAGACAATAAAGTCGAAACGTTAAAAATATGTGTTGGTGATTAATAAGCTGCGAAAGACATGCAGTATAAAAGCAATATTTTTTAAATTCTAGAGCTAGGTTTGTGTAAATGATTTTACTTTGATGAAGACAATAAAGTCGAAACGTTAAAAATATGTGTTGGTGATTAATAAGCTGCCAAAGACATGCAGTATAAAAGCAATATTTTTTAAATTCTAGTGCAAACATAAAACTAGAATAAATTTTACTTATCTCAAGATGTCTTTTAAATGTTTTCGTTTTATTTCCAACGTTAATTTCGTTTTATGTACGAACCAAAGACCATTTGTATTTTCAAAACAACAACAATGAAAACGACGGGAAATTTTCGAACTTCGTATATATGACACTCGCAAGCGTGAAATACGGAAAATACGCGCATCTGGTCCCGGATGTAGTGGCATATGAGTTCTACGAGTGTTTTAGTTTCCATGCAGTAAAATACCATTGTCAATATAATAAATGTATATATAACCTGATCGTGGAGAATTAGACGAAATATATTACCCGAAGTGATGATATTTCCCGAGGGGCTTTCCCCCGAGGGAAATATCTTCACTGAGAGCAATGTTTCGCCGAATCTCCCGAGTGGAGTACCTATAAATGATATATTATACCAAACGTTAAAGAACCTACCAAGTTGAGAATAAAATTGTTGAATAACTATGCAATACAATGTTAATTTTTTATTTATACCTAAGTTTTTGACATTTCCCCTTGAACCTGCATGCTTTGGATCATTGAAGGTAACTTAAATGTATTAATTAATATACAGTCGTACAGTATATAAAGTCGCATTTCTCGGTCTAACAGACTCCGAGTGTTGGCAGAGCCAGTACCCCCAAACAGTGAATAGGCCCTGCGAATAAATCCTTGTAGGCCTATCTCAAAACTAATAATCATCGATAAATCCTATGACTGGTCACAGAATCCCGAGATAAAATAATTGCATCATATATAACATTGAATTGTATTTAACAAATGATATGCTACACCATACATACTGGCATAGCCTTGTGTCAACATATCCAAAGAATGAACAGCTTGTTGACTGACATCATAGTCCAATAGATCAGCATTGGCAAGACAAAATAATAAACCACTCTCATCAACAACTGCACGTCGCCAAAGTAATTCGATCTATATATTTGTGACAGAAATATTTCCAATACTGTAATAATACTGTCTAAAAAAAACATGTATGGGGTCGATCACGAATCAAAACTTACTCTTACTATATTGATCATTTTGTTGAAATACTTATTATGAGGAACATTTCACACATAAATTTAGCACAAGTCCTGCCATATAAAAATCTCACATGTGAAATTGACGAGTGAAACTGGACATTTAACATAAGGAATTTTCAGATACAGTGAAACCGAAACATTTCAATCAAGAATGATGCATGCATGTAAAAGTGTTTTATAGAAAGTATGTGGTGCATCAAAATTGCCAACAGTATAAGCTTGTATCTTACTGCAAAGGAAAATGGCAACAAAAACTTTATACATATATAAATATATATATATATATATATATATATATATATATATATATATATATATATATATATATATATATATATATATATATATATATATATATATATATATATATATATATATATATATATATATATATATAACTAAGTGTGGACAGTGTGGACAGTGTGGACTTTTCTAACTAAGTGTGGACAGTGTGGACTGTGGACTTTTTTAACTAAGTGAGGACAGTGTGGACTTTTCTAACTAAGTGTGGACAGTGGGGACTGTGGACTTTTATGGCTAAGTGTGGACAGTGTGGACTGTGGACTTTTCTAACTAAGTGTGGACAGTGTGGACTGTGGACTTTTCAAACTAACTATGAACAGTGTGGACTGTTCTATCTAAGTGTGGACAGTGTGGACTGTGTGACCAGTGTGGACTTTTCTAACTAAGTGTGGACTGTGGACTTTTATAACTAAGTGTGGACTGTGTGGACTGTGGACGTTTCTAACTAAGTGTGGACAGTCTGGACTGTGTGGACTTTTCTAACTAAGTGTGGACAGTGTGGACAGTGGACTTTTCAAACTAACTGTGGACGACGGTGTGGACTGTGGACTGTTCTATCTAAGTGTGGACAGTGTGGAATGTGTGGACTTTTCTAACTAAGTGTGGACAGTGTGGACAGTGTGGACTGTTTTAACTAAGTGTGGACAGTGTGGACTGTGGACTGTTCTATCTAAGTGTGGACAGTGTGGACTGTGGACTTTTCTAACTAAGTGTGGACAGTGTGGACAGTGTGGACTGTTTTAACTAAGTGTGGACAGTGTGGACTGTTCTATCTAAGTCTGGACAGTGTGGACTGTGGACATTTCTAACTAAGTGTGGACAGTGTGGACTGTGGACTCTTCTATCTAAGTGTGGACAGTGTGGACTGTGGACTTTTCAAACTAAGTGTGGACAGTGTGGACTGTTCTAACTAAGTGTGGACAGTGGACTTTTCTATCTAAGTGTGGACAGTGTGGACTGTGGACTTTTTTAACTAAGTGTGGACAGTGTGGAC